CCTTTTATTGAATCGCTTACACATTTATGAAATAAATTAACTAATTACGAGAATGTCTATTATTTACCTGAATATACCCATTGATCATTCAGATAACCTATGTGCACTATCACCGTTAGGAGAGAAATTTATTATTCTAGCTAATTTAACTTAGTATCGTAAGCATAAAAATATATACGTAGAACTAGTGATTTATTTCAATACGAATACTAAAAAGTGTAAGTGATACAAGTATCTTTCTTGAAGTGTATCTGTTACGCAAATAATCCTCCAACACAAACTCTAAGTAACTAAAAAGAGATCTCTATCTATTAATAATCGCTAATGCTATTTATATACTTTCTATTAGGCTCAAATTAGCTACGTATTATGCAAAGTGTAAAGTATAATTTAGCAAAATAAGTTTTGTGACAGAATTATTTACAGTAAATAATAATAAAAATCACGATAACTCTTAACACATACTGTGGTCACCGAATGGCGAGTAAGTTCTATAACAGAACTACGTATTACAATTACGCATAGTAGAAATTATGATAAATGCTGATACAATCTTAGCTATCGTATATATCACATTAGAAAGAAAATTCCGTAACAGAATTTTTTACATTAAATCGTAATAGAAATAATGATAATTCCGATATACCATAATCAAATTTAACCACATACTCTGAGCACTCAATAGATGATAAGTTCTGTAACAGAATTTAACAATAAATTACTAATGACTTAAATAAAATACTGAATTAGGTGGGTGGTGTGAAGCGCCACCTATCGAACTAGTTATGTATAAAATAAAATGATTCAAGTAAGATAATATTTATTTAAAAAAATCATCACTATAATAATAAAAAACATTAAAAACATTATACATCCGAAGATATAAAATGTTTTTACTAGTTTTTCTAGATTATTTGCTATGTCCTTTACTTCCTTTTCATGTTTATCAAGTTTCCTACTCAACTTTATATTACTGGTTCTTAATTTATGAAATTCTCTCAAGAAAATTCCTTCAGTACTTTCCAGTTGCTGTAGCTCAAGACAATAATTATTAATGTCATTAACAACGTGATCAATATCACTTAAAATTATTTTAATTGAGCTACAGCGAGCTACATTCTTCGCTTCTTCTGTATATCCTTCTGGCTTTGAAACGACAAAGACACCAAATGGCATTAGAGGATGACTAAAATATAATAATTAATTTAATTATGTATATAAAAACAGAATACGGTTTAAGCAAGGTACTGGACAGCAAAAACATCCACTTTTATATATAAAACATAAAAATAATGACAAATAATTTTAAAGAAATCTTATAAATTTGTTGCTTTTACATACACTAATAAAAAATAAAAAAAGTTGATGTGTTGAATGGCACTATTTGAATACTATTTGACATGCCATTCGATGCGTCATCTGCCTTCTGCCTTATCACATGACTTCACGGACATGAATGTCCGTGAAGTCACGTGATAGTTTGAATAGTGTATCGAATGGTATGTCAAATAGCATTCGAATAGTGCTATTCGATACATCGAATTTTTTATTTTTTTACTAGTAATAGTCTGTTTTATTTTGGTTTAAAAGTTCGTACATGGGATAAAATATTCAACTGCAGGGCTAGCTAGTTCATTTTAAGTGTGTATATACATAAATTAAGTAAAAAATTTATTAAATATATTTATTACCATAGCATTGCACCCAAAAATGCTCTAATATGGTCTGCTGTAGCATTTGATAAAAGATTTTTACATTGTACAGGAAAACTATATCCCATACAAGAACCAAAGAGGTCAATTCCATTATCCCCGTCTGGACCTTGTCTACGTATTAAAATTAATAAAATACAATTGTGAATATTTGATTGTTTTGTCAATGGAAAGCTTTCAGGATCAGGACAGATCACTTATCCATGCATCCTATTCACCCTTCAAATAATATAGTAAACAAAGAAGGACGTTCATCGCTCGGTTACCCTGACCAATAAACCTTTGACGATGGCCCGATGTGCTTCCAGTTCTTTGTTACTATAATATTCTAGAGGCAGCGTAACTTCAGATGCATAACAATAAGCAAATATTCAGTGAATAATAAATTCTCACCTAGTCCTATTCATAGACATATTACTAGATTTCAATTTGCGATAGGTTAATTCTTCAAGGTAGTCCCTCTTGGCACCAGAAGATTGACGACCAGGGTAATTTGTTTGGCGATTCATTATAAATCAAAAACTAACAAATTATAAAAATTAATTTAAAAAAAAAATCACAACTGTGAATAAAAAAAAAAACATATAATAAATTGCGACTAGGAACTGACAAAAATTTATATAATTTAATATCTTTTACGTAACTGTGTAAACAAAAAATATTTGTTTTGATACCAAAAATGGATGATGTAGATCACACCTTTTGTGATAGTGTAAATGTCGATCAATAGTTCTAGAAATTTCTGTCGATCCATACACCAATCGAATCAAATTACGTTTAAAATAAAAATTTTTTATTTTCAAATTTAATTTCAGAATATGTTGTTACAGATACGAGTATATATTATTTATATAAACTGAATCGTTTATTTTTATCACTTGCTTTGTACAATATCCGACTCCAATCATACTTACAAGTAAAAGTTGATGTTTATGACACGGATTAATTGTTAATATTATCCATTTTGTTCCTTTATTTCAAAATAAAATATCCTACACCGTGAAAGAATTTGATGATTTGCTCGAACTATGGTAGCTTTATAGCTTCAGGATCTTTAAATAAAAGT